CTGCTCCCGCGTCTCAGCCCAGCGAACGCCTTGCTTCTGCTGAACATCTCGTTGGTGTGTCCTGTGGACCCCTTGAGCCTTGAGGTCAGATCTCTTGCCCGTGGCTTTGGCGGGTAGAAAGCTCAGGGGTCAGCCAGAGTCCGGCCTCCAGAGTGGCCAGTGGTCTCGGATGGCTTCTGTCTCCTGATGACTTTTCTTCTCTTGTGTTTCATGATTGGGATTCTCTCCCTTGGTCACCTTCTGTCTCATGCATTTCTGTGGCCCACTTTAAACCTCAGAGAGTTTGAGGATGAGCAGGAGAGTGACATGTATTCAGAACACCACACGCCCACAGCAGCACTTCAGAGTTGCAGAGGAAATCCCGCGTCCCCGCCCCAGAGAGCCATCGGACGCCAAACCCCGGTCTGTCCACGGAGCTCTCTGGGGCTTGTTTCTCCCAGGCTCTGGATTCTGACAAACAGCTGTTGTTGGTTTGTTTGTTTGTTTGGGTACTGGGATTGAACCCAGGAGACCTCCCCAATTAAAAAGGCCTCAGATTCGGTTTGGACCTATGGGGCTTGGCCCTGTCTGCCTTCTCGATTGAAATTCAGCTAATTTACAGTTTCCCTGATGTGCTTTGCCATGTTCTTTCACCATGGATCTGGAATACTAGTGTTTCAAGAGTTCAGTGCTCATGGTCTCAGATCCTCAGTCCTCCAGCCGCCACACAGGAGCAATTATGTGCTTGAGGCTCAGCAGGCCCGTTTAATTGGCCATGTCTGCAGTTACCAGAAGAGGGGCACCGCTCTCCACCGGCTTCCTCCTGAAGGTCCTGCGTCTCCCTACACCGTTTCTCTATTTCCTGGGGAGATGACAGTTGTGTCAAAGGCCATGGGACAGTGTGAGATTGCTGCAGGGTCTGGCCTCCTCCAAGTGCATCTCTGGAGGATGGTCAGGTATTTGGGCGGCGAGGCAGGCGACTCCTTGACACCCTTCTTGGCCATGTCTAATTCCATCTCAGAATCMTTCATTCTGAGACAGTCTTCCCCTCTTGGGCTGACCCCACCATATGTGGAGCTTCTTCTCGTGCGCCTCTTCCCTCTCGTTGACCCTACGTATCATATGCGCATGTCCAGACCAGGGTTTGGAAACAGGACCCAGACCTACAAATGTGAATTTGAGCATGTGGTTAAGGTGCAATGTTTTTTGGACATCTTTAAAGGAAAGTGTGTTTGAGAGCAGTACCTTGAACTGTGCTTATTGCAATAAGGAAGTGTATCCCCCAAATGATAAGATCGTTTCATATCACCGAGTGATCATCCACTGGACAATCGTGTGATGCACAACCTTAGAAYTGGCACGGGGACTGCTGCGACACACACATGCACATGCCAAGAACACAGCGTTTGAAGGGGTGCTCTTTGCTAGCGCATGTTGAAAGTGGTGTATCAAACACCCGATCCTCTTGTGGTGGGGCCTCTAGGTGGGTCGTCGTGGTGCAGGTGGATTATGAGTTCCTCCTGGTGACAGGCACTGCTAGAAGACACGGTGAAGGTGTGGCTGCTGGGCAGTGAGCAAGGGCAGGCTTCCAGAGTGCAGGTGTGCAAATGCACTCAGAGCAGGACTTCCAGATGGATGCATTGCAACTCGGGAACCCTAATAGGGTCAGTTCTTTGCTTCTGCAGGAAGTGCCCTGAGTTATTACTGGGCACTTCCCATGTACACATCCTGGTTTGCTGGGGAGTGACCACTCTCCAGGGTTGACGTGGTGGGTCAGGATGTGGACCGTGGTGCACACTTTAAACCAGAGCAAGGTGGGCCGGGRATCTTGGTGCCCATCTTGCCTTTCAAAGCAGAGTGGCTGAGCTTTATTTGTRGAGGTGTTCTCCGCACAGGGAAGGCCATGGGCACCGAGGTGAGGTCACCCAGTGAGGTCTCCATGGGCCTCCTCCTGACTCTTACCTTGGTGTACACTGTCCCCTCCCATGTGAGACCGACAGGCCAGCACCTGCCACCCGGGGCTGTGGTGAGGACCATAGCTGGTAAGCAGGGCCACAGCTGTTAATGCTACTCTGTGGCTGTGAAGATTTCCAAGGGTGCCTGCAAGAGTACATGGCAATGAGAGTAGCTCAGACCTCGCTGACCAGCATCTGCTGAGCTTTAGATCCGAGGCATCGGTTGACCTAGGTGAGCCCCTCTTGGGGTTAGGTTTCCTGGGAGTTCCATTTAGGATGGCTTCCTCTAAAACTAAAGCTCAATACAAGGGGGGAAGAGGCTATATATATATATTTTTTTCATTGCCCTAAAGATACAAACTTTGAAATCAGCACCTGCTGGTCTCATTTAACTATTTGCTAGCATGAAAGCCAGGGTGGGAAATCTTAATGAGCTGAACTGCATTGGGTCATTGTAAAATGAAAACAAAATAACTCTGGTAAGTGTTGCCCCTATTTTAAATAGTTACACATATTTTTTTTTTGGATAGCTCTGGCAAATGCATTTTAATGACTTATCCTGTCCAGATGAGGTGAGGAGATCTATTCTAATGCCATAGAAAAACTCTGTGATCCATGTCCAGAGTTCTTATCCTCAGGCATGGAAATTCAACTATTGAGAATGAAAAGAGTTGGGTACAGTGGCGCAGGCCTGTAATCCCAGCAGCTCTGGAGGCTGAGGCAGGAGGATTGTGAGTTCAAAGCCAGCCCCAGCAACTTAGAGAGGCTCTAAGCAACTCAGTGAGACCCTGTCTCTAAATACAAGATAAAAAAGGTTTGGGGGTGTGGCTCAATGGTTCAGCGCCCTTGGGTTTAATCCTCTGTACCAGTAAATAAATAAATAAATAAATAAATAAATAAATAAATAAATAAATAAAAGAATGAAAATAAAATGAATCAATGGTATTCTGAAGGGTCCATGATCCTCAGTGTCCCCTGTTTTTACAATTCTGCCCACCTCTTGGAGCTTTAGCTTTTCAGATGGCCGACTCCCTTGCTGGGGAAGAGTCGAACAGGCTGCACTCACTCAGGGCTCCTGAATGGATGTGGCGAGTGAACCAGGACTTGGTGGCTGTGGCTCTGATTACTCCCAAGACCCGGGTACCATCTACCATCTAAAATCTCTTTCCTGAACAACCAAATCCCTCTAACTTCTCCTTCTTAGTAACTTCTCTCCTTGAGACAAATACACCAAAACATGCACACTCCACCCAGCGGGTGGAATTTTCCAAAGGAATAGGGAAAGTCTCAAGTGAAGATATTCTGTGTTTTGATATTAGGATGGGTCTTTCAGAGATAAATGTCTGAAGCCAGGAAAAACAGCATCAAGAGGAAATAATGCATGTGCMGCCGCATCGGAAACATACAGAATCCATGGGAACCCGACGGTTGATATTTTTGAATTTCCTCTGTGTTAGCACAGCTGTGAGCTGGCAGCCGCAGGGCGGTGCCTTCCCAGGCCCTCTGGAGGGCCACAGTCCTGGGCGGCCCTTGTTAGATGGCTGCTGCTTTCTCCTTCTGGTCCACGCTGAGCTCCCTCCACAGGCGCCAGACACATTTGCAAGAGACGCTGAGGATGAGCTTATGTTCAGAGTCTCCAGACACCAAAACACACTTTCCAGGGTTCTGGGTTCTTGATTGGCCCTTCCTGTTCACACCCTGCCAAGGCCTATGGGTGTGCAAAGACCTCATCCCCCTCCAGCCCTGCCTCACCCACGGAGTGCCCTTCAGCCCGAGATGGGTTTGACCTTTCGGACGTGAAGGTCAGGCCCATGCCAAGCCTGTGGTTCTRGGATTCTACAAGTTCACTGCAGAGCTCAGCCAGGAAGGTACGGAGAGGAACCCTGACCGTAAACACTGGGGTAGGGATGTAAAATCCAGACAGTGACGGTTCGGATTCCCCAAGAACCTGGCGGGGAAGCATCGTGTTGAGATGGGGAGGCATTTCTGAAAGTCTAACTTGGAGGTTAAAGCCCTAATTCAGGGTCCCTGCCGCTGTGGGTCAGTCATCTGGAAGGCAYCGACACGCCTCTTGGGTTTCTGGTTAATCTGGCTTTCCCAGCTGCCGTTCCCCTTTAGATCCAACTCTACCGTGTTCTGCTGCTTTCAAATTTCATTTAAAACAAACAAGTTTCCTCTTCCTTCAAAGTGTGTTGGGTTTTTTGAGTGACGGTGGCCACCTTAGACAGTGGCAGACCTGAGGCTGACTGCCGACTCCTCTCTGTCCCCGCAGCCACTCACGCCCCTTCCCCAGGTCCTCGTGGGCTGCTGGGGTCTGCTCTCCAGCTGCCTCCCCGCCTCAGCTCCCCACCCTGCCCTTCCTGCTGCACGGTGAGTCTCCCGAGTCCAGATCCTGGGACTGGCCGTGGAGACAGGGAGTCCGACACAGGGGCTTCATTCTGAGGTTTTGAGGGAATATCTAGAAGACCCTTGCTGGGCGCAGGTGCTGGCTGCTGGCTGTCGTGCTGAGGAGGACGGCCGCTCACTGCTCCTGCACGTGCTCCCGGTCGGCTCCCGCACGTAGAGCTGACCGGTGGTTTCAGAAGAAGCTGGCTGGAGAAGCAGGAGCCGGTGGCAGCTGTGTGCTGCTCCCGCGAGGGTGCTGTGTGCTGCTTCTGATGGGGCAGCATCGTGGCCGGCAYAGGCTGCCATCGCCAGGCCCCTAGACAGGACTTTAGTTCTCCAGTTCTGGGCTCTCAGGTCAAGGTGCCTTAGAGTCCTGGGGTTGAGATGACCTGGTGGAGAAAGAGGGAGAGGGGAAAGGAAGGGTACTAACGCCATCCCGGGCTCCACCCTCACGGCCCCATCTAACCAACCCTCCCACAGCCCCCACCTCAGTGCCATCGTGAGTCTGGGGGGAGGGGCACAGCCTCCAGATCTCCTGGGCCCTGCCCCTGCCCCGGGGCCTTCGCTGCTCCTTCTGCCTCAGGCTCCTGCCCGTGCCCTTGCCTGGTTCCCTGTGACCCCAAGACCTTGGAGCCAGCCCTGCAGTTGCCATAATCATGGAAGAATTTGTCTTCTCCCCAGGAACTCCCCCGATGAGTGCAGCGTGGCCAAAGGCGGGAAGATGGTGGGCAGCCCGGACACCGTGGGGATGAACTATGGCAGCTACATGGAGGAGAAGCACATGCCACCCCCCAACATGACCACGAACGAGCGCAGAGTGATCGTCCCAGCAGGTGAGGTGCTCACGGCCGCAGCACCCACGCCCTCCTGGAAGGGTGGGGGGGCGCTGCCGTGTGGGACCCCTGCTGTGGCCGTCCGTYGCCCTCCCTGGTCTGGGGTGGCCATGGAGAAGGGGGCTGCAGAGGTCACCCACGCAGGCCAAGGCTCATGATCTCCCTCAGAGCAAGGAAGCGGGCAAGCCCACGTGCACACCCCGGCACAGGCGTGTTGGGGTTTATGACACGTGGGAGAGCCAGCTGGCTCCCGACTCTGTCTTACATGTAAGTGTGCACACCCATGTGGAAGGAAGGTGTCCAGGCAGGCACAACCCTCAGGCTCACACACACTCACATGCACACACACGTGCAGATGTGCATGAGTCCACGGAAGGCGACCTTCCCTTCCCCCAGGTGTCTGTGTCAGTCCTGTCTCTCACGAGGTGTGGGTTTAATAGATGGCAGGCTCGTCCAAAACACGTTCTCGTCCAGTACAACGAAGAGTGGGCAGCTGTGTCCTGCACTCCGTCATGCTCTTGGACGTCTGAAATTCCAGTTCTCGCTGGCCTGAAATGCAGACTGTAATAATCAGAGTGATTCTTTACCCCAGACCTAATCCAAACTCAACCCAAGGAAGAGCTTTCTTGACTTTGAGGGAAATGCCCAGAACTTAGTTATTTAGCAAAACCACGGGAGAAAGAACGGCTTAAAGCTCCTGGGAGATCCAGGCTGCAGAAAACCAGCACTCAGCAACGCAGCCAGTGCTCAGTGAGCGCCTTCTCTGTGCTCCGTGTCGTGGGAAAGCGTCTGGGGCTGAGATGTGCAGTCTTGGGAATGAGGATTCCCTGCTTCATAACTTCCCTGCTAAGAAATATGACGCACAGAGAGGCTAACTAACTTTTCCAAGGACAAACAGCCAATAAGAGGCTGAGTCAGAATCCCCCTCCTGTCACTCATTCTAGCCATCTGACCACCTTCAGATCTGCCACAGGCTCGGACTTGCTGTCACCTCACCCTGGAACCCTGGATTCCAGGTCGTGCTATTCCTCTTTCCTCATGAAAGCTCCGGGAATATATAGCCTTCTGAGCCTGTCCCCATGCGCCTGTCTGGAGTGCTCCCCACTGCACCCCRTGGTGCTCAGTCCCCTGTCTGTCTGCTCCTTTCTTTCCCTCATTCTCATCTTTCATTATGTCATACCTCAGTGTGAAAGTTCTCTTGCTACCTTCCTCCCTCCCCAGAGGTGACCCTGGCAAAGGCCCTGTCTGCAGGGCCAAGCGCAGTGCCTGCGTGCAGTAGGTGCTCAGTGGATATTAACTGACACGGGGCACGGGTGGCTGCTGGGCAGCTCGGCACTACTCATTCCTGGTTGTCACCGTGGCAGAAGACGTGCAGGGTGACACATGTCCACACTCCATTTCCCCGTGCCCCAGGTTCCCCTGAATCCATGTCTGTGAGCACAGTACAGACAGGATCAAGGCTACCACGGCCTACTTCCCCATGCCCTGCATCAGACCTCACCAGTGGCTCCTGTCCCTTTCCACACAGGAGCATAGCGTGCAGAGGTCCTATGCTCTGGGTTCCTCCCCAGTTTGTCACTGCGTGGCTTTCAGTGAACTGCCTGAAGCTGATGTGAGGAGGTTTGGTGTGAAGGGACCGTCCCCTGGGTTACGCCTGACTTTGAAGCACATGGTGGAATTTATGGGAGACAGGGATGGTGCTGCCCGCTGTGCGCCTTAGGAGAAGGACAGAACCGTGGTGCTGGTCATTGGAAGGGGGCCGGCAGATATCCAGGGCCACCCATGCCAGCCGAGCTACTGCCCGAGACCACCTGGCTCGCCACGTGTCTCAGCACAGGGTCAGTGCCCAGGGGATGGGAAAGGCTGGCCATGCAGTGTCCCAGGCCCAGGTGCCTGTCCTCGATGTGGTGCCTGAAAAACGTTGAGAGAACCATGAGCCTGGAGGGGGCTGGGAGGCCGGCGGGGCCAGGCTGGCTGGGCACGGACAGTGTAGGACAGGGGGCAGGAGAACCAGAGGAAGCCCGCCCGCCCGCTCCCCTGCGCCCGGCTCTGGGGGGAAATCAGGCTGCCCCTGAGGCAGGTCCACTTTGAGTTGTGCAGGATGAGAGAATATCTGAACGGCCCATGTGCCAGGTGCTTTTCTTGTCCCTTATAGAAGGTGGAGGGGGATCCCAGTGCCCCTTTCACTGGCGAGGTGGATTTCCGTGGTGCAGCTGTCTCCTTGGGGGGCATCCGACTTTGAGCCTTTCTGCCTTATTTCCTTGTAAACGATTTCTGTTTAGGAAAGAGGCGGTGTTTCTGTGGGGAAGCAGCCAAGAGCCAGGGTCGTCCCGTTGGAGCGCAGCATTCCTGTGCGTGGTGGGTGCTCACTGAAGGTGCTGGCGGGAGGGGACGGTGGCTCTGCAGATGAGCTGGGTTTGGTGCGAGGCTGCTTTTCCCCCAGGAAAGGGGCTCTCCTGCCCTCCCTCCCCCGGTTGCCTCACGCCAGCGCAGGCAGTTATTCAGTTAACCGTGTTTGTAAGAGAGCTAGCTGTGGCTGATTTTGCAAGTTGTGAGTCTTTCAGTTATTGACCAAGTTTCAGGTGTGTGTGTTCACACATGCACACACACGCGCACACATGGGCTTCCTTGCACAATCTGGCCAGTCCTCCAGTGTGGCCACGGGGTTGCAGGACCTCAGGAATTCCTACAAGCTGCGTCCCTGTCCTCTGGCTCCAGCACAGGCACCTCACAGGCACAGCTCGGGCTTGGAGGGTTGCGGTTCACAGAATTCTCCAGATCCAGTTCTGTAGCATCCACACAGCTCTTACTAGTTAGGCATGTTGCTTGGCACCCCAAAGTGCAAATCAGAAAGACAGCCAAATGGGAAAAAGCACTTACTATTCCTAGGCATTTGTACTCTCCGTCAACAGCAGAGACGTTCTGTCCTTCACGTCCTAGACATCGGAGTGGCCCAGATAGAGTCAGGAAAATGGGCGTGTGGACTGAGAGGTCACAGAACACAGGGCTTGGGGCCCTGTTGAGGTCGGGATGGAGCACTTATATGTGAAACTCAGTTTTAAAAACTCAACTGAGGATTTGAGATTGACTTTAATATTCAAGAGCTGTAAAGAATCCTACAAAGTATCCCTAATGAATAAAAACCTACTGTTATTTGATATATTTACAGGGCCTCCTACTTCAGAATTTAAGAACATTTACGTAAATATACACTGAAGAGCACTGTAGAATCAACTTTAAAATAAATAAGGAGCTGGGGTTGTGGCTCAGAGGTAAAGTGCTCGCCTACCATGCATGAGGCACTGGGTTCAATCCTCAGCACCACATAAAAGAAATTTAAAAATTAAAAAAAAAATAAATACGGAGCATGGACTGAGGTCAGCATTTAACAGAGGGAAGCCAGGAGTGAGGTGCTCTGCACGCTGATACACGTGCGCACACGTGGGCATCGTGCTGGGTCCACGCTCCCTGCCCAACACGCCTGACCTGCTGCATGCCCTCGCTCAGCCTGGCCTTCCCTAAACCCGCCCAGAACTCTGGCCTTAGCTACAGCTGGGAAGAACCCTCTGGCACAAAGCCTATTTTATAATGAAGCTTTGAACATTTCCTGCAATGACTTAAATACTGCACCAACACGGGGAGCACAGAGCAGCCCCCTGGCCTCACCTGGTGTCACCCTGAGCCCCAAGCTGACAAGCAGATCAGGCCCCTCAAGAGGCCCGGGTCCCGTGCTCTCTGCACCTGTCCACAGCCAAAGGTGACCTGGMAGCTCAGGCACCTGACTTCAGGTGCTTCCAGCTGGGCCTCCCCAGCTGGGAGCAAGGATTAGCAGAATGAGAGCAGCAGACGTGTCAGGGAGTCCCATCAACGCCTGACCTGACATTGGGACTGTCCCCTGTATGCCTCTGGGCGCTCGTGGCGGTCACTGCTGATTTAGGAATTGACGGGGATGTGCCAACCAAGCGGGAGACCAAGAGGAAGGCTCCATCTTCACCACTTTTCTGAAATGTTGCAAAATGCTGACCAAATGCAATCGGGCCTCTGGCTTTAGCCGCTCAGAGCATTTTGAAATACTTTTCTTTTTCCCTGTGTTATTCCCCAAAGTGCGGAGCAGCCAACTTCTCCAGATCTCTACCTTTTTACTCTCACATTTGTACTTTCATTTTTAAACTCACTCACTTTAGGCACAGGCCCCTGTGGCATCCAGCAGCCTCAGGGACAGAGCGGCCACGCTCCCCTCTTCCCTACTTCTTCATCCTCTCACTCACGAGGACTTGCACCTGAGAGTGTCTCCGGTGAGACCCACACCCCCTCTCCCAATACTCACGGCTGGAACTTCCTGAGCTGGCCAAAGCCCATGGTAGAAGAAGAGACCCACCCACGTGGCGCAGGCAGAGAGGACGCAGGGTGCGTGGCTAAGACGTGCCAGACCATCTGAGGACTGTGGATCGATACCACAGGAGGGCTCAAGAAGCTTCCTTGACACCAGCACCCCACAGTCTAGGTACCACACCGAGCCCAGGGTTCTCTGCCCCTCCGTCCTGACCCTGGCCACGCTGCTGCTGGGCTCACCTCTGCCTTCTCACAGCCCGGAGTCTTGGTCCCTGCTGTTCCTGCTGCCGCAATGCCCTTCCACCCTCTGGACTGACATATTCTTCAAGGCATCTTTGAAATTCACCCTGTCTACAAAGTTGTGCTCAATACCTTTGCCAAATTAACTGTTGCTCTTAGTGACATTTCCAATTCTTTAATTAACACGCTTTATTTTGTTCATGTTGCATTCTCTAATGAATATAGATACTTACTTATGTAAGAATATGCCATTTAATTCCACAAGGGTTTGAGAAGCCTCAACTAAACTACTGGTAAACATATGACCCAAACAACAGATCCAATGAAAACTGGAAATTAATTAAGGCCATTAAAAATACCAATGGAAACTAAGAGCAAGCCAAGGAAGGATAAAGGCATTCTGACCACAAGCTTGGATAAGATACTGT